AGATGAACACATAGAAGTAGATGCAAGATACATTCAAATGAAAGCAGAACAATGAGGGAAAGGAATACTAACAGCTGGGAGATACAGAAAGGCTTCATGAAGAAAGTGCTGTAGCGGAAAAAGAACTGGGAGACAGGTGCTACTATTATCTCCGTTTTTCAGTTGAGGAAACTGAGGCAGAAAGAGGTGAAGCGACTTGCCCAGAATCACATAGCTGGTAAGTATCTGAGGCTAGATTTTAACTCAGGTCTTCCTGACTTCAGGTCCATTCTAGGTTTAGATGGAGTCAGAGGACCAGAATTCAAATCCTACCACTAATGCCTATTTGCATGCATGAACTCGGGCAAGACACTTAACTTGTCCATCTGTAAAAGTACTAGAGTTAAGAGGCCTAAATTCAGATCCTGGGTTAGACTCTAACTAGCTCTGTGACTCTGGGCAAGTCAGTTCACAGCTTAGAGTCTCAGTTTTCTCATTTGTAAAATTGGAATAATAAAACATGTTTGACCTATATTAAATAATGATGATTTTTTTGTACTTGCAGTTTACAGGTCTTTGTAAAGATCGTTCTTCTTCTCCCCTTAGGATCCAACCCATAGGAATCGATAGCAGATGAATCATATTTATTTATTTTATGATATCTAATTAAAAGCCACATATTTAGCCTTATTCATAGGATCATACATCTAAGATTGGAAGGAACCTCAGAGGTGCCATCCTTTTATATGTAGGCCAGGTATGTGTCTTGGCCAAGGTCACACAGTGGTAGAATTTGAACTCCAATCTTCTGGCTATATTCAGACCCAGTATTCATTCCACTGTACCATGCTCTGCCTCTAGAGTTATAAGAATAGATTTTATCAAGTATTCCATTTAGGTGGCACGGTGAATGGGTCTGGAGTCAAGATCCGAGTTCAAATCTGGACTCTGGTACTTCCTAGCTGTGTATTCCCAAGCAATCATTTAACCTCTGTTTACCTCAGCTTCCTCAAGGAAGGGGGAAGGAAAGAAAGTTAAGAAAGAAGGAGGGAAGAAAGGGAGGGAGGAAGGAAGGAAGGAAAGAAGGAAGGAAGGAAGGAAGGAAGGAAGGAAGGAAGGAAGGAAGGAAGGAAGGAAGGAAGGAAGGAAGGAAGGAAGGAAGGAAAGAAGGAAGGAAGGAAGGAAGGAAAGAAAGAAGATAACAATAGGGGCTAATAATAGCACCTACCTTCCATATTGTAAGAATCAAAGGAGATATTTTTAAAGTTCTTAGCACAGTGCTTGGCACATAGTAGGCACTTAATAAATGCTTGTTTCCTTCCATCTTACTTCTAACCAGCAGTATTATATGTCAATTGAATTCAATTCAACAAATGTTTACTAGACCCCTTCTACAAGAGACTTTCCTCTCCACCCTCAGCCCTATGTCCTTGAGGAAATGTAGTTTTTTTCTTCCTCGAAGCACCTCTTTTTCCCAGAAGCTGAAATGAAAAAATGAATTATATTTGTACATGTGGGTACATGAACAATTAAATTGGCAAAATGTACAAGGGAATAGTGTGGTTTTTCCTTTGTCATGCAAGCAGAGAGGTTTCTTTTCTTTTTCACAATGAAGAAAATGAAAGTTTCTCCACCTTGTTGAAACAAGCTGGATTCACTTACAGCCCAGTGTTGCTTTGCGGCTATTGAGCTTTTTCTTGCAAATCTCAAAAATGACCCCACAGAAGTTGACTAAAAAGTGTATCCAGCTGTTATTAGCTCAGTGGCAGTTTGGAGGCCTTACTTTGATTTTCAATGAATTGATGGTTAAAATGATTTCTCTTTCTTTAAAAAAAAAACAAACAACCTAAAATATCAAAGCTCCCCACCTCCTTCTCTCATGTCAGCCACCAGCACATCATTTTTTCTCCCTTCTCCCCATTTCACCAAAAGTACTAGTTGTGAGATTCTCAGAGATCTTATTTGATTTAAGCCCACATGTTTCCATCAGGGGAATCACAATTACCGTCAGTTCGTTGACACTTTCCAGGGGCTGGTAACGTAATTATACTGAGGTCTTGATAAATAATTGGCTAGATGAGAACCATGAGCTAACTTTGGCTTGAAGGCCAAGAGGAAAATGGGGAGGTGAAGAACATCTTCTGCCTTTGTGGCTGTGCCCAGGGGCCATTTTGATTCGGGGCCAAATGTCAGCAATGCAAATCAAGACCAGCTGCAAATGATTCCTGGTTGAGAGAATTGATGGGACAGTTTGAGTCTGGAGCTGCCCGGAGAATTTGAGACCTTTCTAAGGCTCTGACTCATTTCAGTCCTGAAACTGTCCAACCTAGGCCTCCCTCAAGGGCTTGGATTGTCATCAGTGACCTGAAAGTATCTGTACTCTGAAGGATCCTAGGGAAATTCAGCTGATTCTAGGGCTCCTCCAAGAGTTCGAATTAGAGGATCGAGTTCATTTCAGAGCTCCCTGTATCATCCCAAGACAGGCCATACTGAGCAAGAACATGGATTTATAAACTAGAAGATCATCCAGTCCAACCTCCTCCTTTGAAGAGGTGGAAACAGGTCCAGAAAGCTCAAGAATAGTCACTCAATCAAATAATCAACAAACATTTACTGAGTATATACTATGTACCAGGCAGTTGGGCACGGTACTGGTGCTGGACCCTGTGCTGAATGCTACGGGAACATAAACAAAGACAAAAGGTAGTCCTTCCTCTCAAGGAGCTCAAAGTCTCATGGACGTGGGGTGGGGGGAGTCACCAGGCACAAAACTATGTACAAACTTAATATATATAGGACAAATACATACAAACATATGCACATGTATGTATACACACACAGAGAAACAGAGAGATGGAAAGAAAGAGAGAAACAGAGAGCAAGAGAGACAGAGAAAGAGACAGAGGGAGAGAGAGGAAGAGAGACAGAGAGAGAGAAAAACAGAGAAATTCATCTGGAACAGTGAAGGAAAACCAATTCTGCCCCCTTTAAAGGGAGACCAAAGGATGCCAGGCCAGCATGGGAGGGGTAGTTTGGGGAAACCTATACAGCTGCTACTCAAATATTTTATATTCTACTACTTAAAGGATCTATCATTAAGAGGCAGTGTGATATGGTATAGAATAGTGACTGTTTGAGGGCAGGAACTGCTTGATTTGTGTCTTTTTATGCACAGTACCTGGTACATAATAGGTGTTTCATAAATGCTTGTTAATTGATTGATAATGGAAAAATACTGGAAACAGTCAGCAGAGAGCAGGGTTCCAATTCCTCCTCTTGACTCTTGTTAGTTGAATCACCAAGGGAAAATCACTCTCTCTCTCCCAAGGTCTCATCTTATCTGAAAAAGGAGCAGGATCATAACTATGGTACTTAGCTCCCAGGGTTGTTGTGAGGACCCAGTGAGATAATGTATATAAAGTGCTCTATAAGGGTCAGGTATTATTTGATGCTGATGTGAGTACTCCCTCCACCAATGCAGATTGCCATTCATAGATACTACAGATGTGTTAGACCAGTCAGTCAGTGAGTCAACTAGCATTTGTTAAGCACCTACTATATACCAAGCACTGTTCTAAGTGCTTGGGATACAAAGAAAGGCGAAAAAAAAAACAGTCTGCTTTCAAGAAGCTCATAGTCCAACAGGCAAACATCTATATACAAACAAGATATACACAGGATCACTTGGGGGCAATCTCAGAGGAAAGGAATTAAAATAAGGAAGACTAGGAAAGGCTTCATGAAGAAAATGGTCTTTGAAAGTTGCTGTGGCCTAAAAATTCATCCCTCTGTGGCCAAGGTGGTAGTGAACTTCTCTGAATTCAACTAGACTAGTTCTTAGACGGTGGACATTATGATCTGGCCCCTAGGCCAGATTAGATTATATTTAGAATATTATCTCAAATGAGATTATATTTGTAAAATACTTAGCACAGTGCCCAGCTGGCATATAGTAGGTGTTTAATAAATGCTTGTTCTCCATTCCCACCCCACCCCCACCCCAGCCCATCCTCACCTTTCTAGCTTGGTAGAGCCTGCCTAAGGCTGTGCCTTCCAGGCCTAGCTTTTGAGAACCTTGGGTGTCTTCCATGTCATGAGGAGATATTGGAGTTGGGCCTTTAGTGAAGGACATAGGGTCATAGTTTTACAGCTGGAGGGGACCTTGCAGGTTATGTGGTCTAACCCCTCTATTTCACAGAAAAGGAAACTGAGACCTACAAAGATGAAGTGACTTGCCCAAGGTCATGCAGGTGGTGAGTGGCAGAGCCAGGATTTGAACTCAGTTCCTCTAACTTCAAACCTAGTATTCTTTCCACTGCACCTCACTGACTTGCTGCTAGAGTGAAAATAATGACAGCTTACATTTATATAGCACTTTGCAGTTAAAAAGTATATCTCCTTTAATTGCGAATAAGAATAACTATATATGTATAATGTATGTGTCTATATGTACATATATGTATGACACATATATACACATACACATGCACATATCTCTAACATCTGAAAAGAGTTTTACATATGTTGTCTCACTTGGCCCTTACAATAACCTGGTGGGGTAGGTAGTATTATCCCCATTTTAAAGATGAAGAAAATGAGTCAAAAAAAAAGAGAGAGGTTAAGTGACCTGCCTATGGTCACACTAAGGAAGAATTTGAACTCACGCCTTCCTGATTCCAAGTCTAGTGTTCCATCCACTGTTCCACCTAACATCCTTGATCCCACATTTTACAAACATGGACAAAGGCCAAGACTCGCTGAATAAATGGCTTATCTATAATCATACTGCTGGTAAATAGTGGCCCAGACCTCAAGCTTCAGCTCTTTTGATCTCACATCCGATGTTTTTTGCATTCGTACTGCTCTGTTTGTCACTTAGAAAAGTCCCGTTATTCAGATGCTCTATTTGGAAGAATTAATTGAGCAGTGGCATTTGTACTGATGAATGGACCTCAGTATGCATCTCTTTTATTTTATTTTAAAACTTGTCTTCCTTTTTTTGTTGTTCTTTTTACATAAAGGTGTGACATTGGCATTTTCAGGAACATATTTATTGGTGGCTTTTGCTCCAAACATAACTCAGGATATCACAGCAAGAAAAGTACAGTATTACTTTGTCGGCTGGCAGTTCCTGGCCTATGTGGTAAGAGATCTGTGTTTGCTATTTCTGACTAGATATAATAATAACCACTACAGTACATAGACATTAAAAACTTAGTAGCTCTGTCCATCTCACTTGCCACTCATTTCTGATCAGGCTTGCTTTTCGGTTTCTATCCCCAGTGCTTAGCACAGTGTTTTGTTTTGTTTTTTAATTTATGGAATAAAACAAGCATTTTCATAACAGTACAATAAAAAAAGGTGATTGCACATGAAACTACAAATCTGCTATGCACAACTTGCTATTCCTTTGAAATATACAATAAAATCATGTAAATTTCTTTTTTTTTCTTCTTTACCCCCTCCCACCCTAGAGATGGCTGCCATTAGACACAAATAGGTATATATATGTAAAAATTATTCTATACATACTTCTATTTGTCAGTGTTAAAACATAGCTCATGCTTAATAAATGCTTTTTGATTCATTCATCAAAATGTAGATGAACTTATTTGACTAATGTCAAAAGTGGGTTCACCTTCTAAAGCAGCACAGTGCCCAGCTGGCACACAGTAGGTGTTTAGCAAATATTTGTTCCCCATCCTGCCCCACCTCACCCCCACCCTCTCCTTATTTTTTAAGCTTGGTAGGTCCATTCTAGTCTTCCAAGAGAGAAAGAATATCTTGGAATTGAGGTAGTTCCCCCAACTTTAGGCCCACTGAAGTCTACATCATATGGTCCAAATCAAATTAGAACAAATCCTAATCTTCAGGGGCAGGAATTGACTCCTTGGCATTATTTCCTTCCCTTACCTCCCAGGATGGATACTCTCAAATAGGTAGGCCCAGTGAGAAGCCTATCCAAAGGACAACAAGCAAAGTGACTCCAATGGAGCAGAGCAAGGAGGCAGTTGGTTGATCATGAAGAAACCGGGACATGTACATTGTTAGTGAAGCTGACAGAACTATATAGGAAGACCTGTAAAATTGTTCATACCCTTTGACCTAGTGATTTCAAATAATATCCAGGACCACACACCTGGTTAAGTATCTGAGGGAGTGTTTTGAACTCAGGTCTTCACAGCACCACAGTACCATCTGATAACTGTGATCTTGAGAGCAGGCATATTGACTCTGAAGAACGAGGAGGAGAAGGAGGAGGAGGAGGATGATGATGATGATGATGATGATGATGATGATACGTATATGATCTCATTGGATACTCACAGTAACCTCCTTAGGTAGGCACTATAGCCATTATTATACCCATTTTAGAGATGAGAAAATCGAGGCTGAGAGAGATTATGTAACTTGTTCCATGATCACACAACTAGTAAGTATCAGAGGCAGAATATGAACCCAAATTTGATTCCACGTTCAATGCTCTGTCCACTGTGCCATGGTCCAGAACATATGACACAATTGAGATCCCGGAGCTGAGATGGACCTCAAAGGCCACCCAGTCCAAACTTCTCACTTTACAGGAAGTTATTTCCCTTGCCAAAAGTTACTTAGTAGTAAGTATCAATGGCAGGATTTGAACACAACTCCTTTGATTCCAGACCTTTCCATGGCATCACAAGATCTCCATAAAGTTCGATAAGGTTACAGAACCAGAAATGGAAAAAGATTAAAAACTGAAAGAGACCTCAGAGGCCATCTGCACCACCCTTTTCATTTTACAGACAGGGAAACTGAGTCTCAGAAATGTTAAGTATCTTTCCCAAGGTCGCACTTGTAGTAAGCACCAGAAACAGGATCTGAACCCAGAGTCAGGAAGGCCTGAGTTTAAAAACATCCTCAGACACTTCCTAGCTGTGAGCAAGCCACTTAAGCTGTTTGCCTCAGTTTCCTTAACTGTAAAATGGGTATAATAATGGAACCTACCTGGCAAAGTTGTTGTAAGGATCAAATAAGATTTTATTTGCAAAGCACTTAGCACAGTGGCTGGCACATACTAAGTGCTGTATAAAGGCTTATTCTCTCCTTTTCCCCTGCCAATTCAGAGCCCACTGTACTACAGGACCTTCATGGCACCAGACAGAATTATAGAACCAGAGAGAGAGAGAGAGAGCTCACCTATTCACAGTGGTCTTTAGGGTTCTATTTCTGCTTATCCCTATACATGGTCTACTTTAACTCCATCCATGTTCTTCTGTCCCCAAGGAATTAGTTCTGTCTGTCTGTGCCCTGAGAGAATGAATATCCCCTGTTTGGGGCCTTATTTCACATTGTCTGTCAATTGACAGTGAAGGCCAAGGCCCCAACCTTGGAAGGGTTACTCTGAAGCTTTCCTTCTCCTTCATATAGAGCAGCAGTTCTCAAACTCTTCAATATCAGGACCTGTTACAAATCTTAAAATTATTGAGCTTTTGAAATCCATGTGGGCTGTATCTAGTGATATTTACCACATTAAAATAAAAAAAAGCCTAATTTTATCATGAAAATAGCCTTGGTCTAGCAGGCTCTCAGAAGGGGTCTTAGAGGTGTTCAGGGATCTCCAGACCACACTTTGAGTACCAAGAATAATCAGGAGGTGAGTCCTTGACACCTTAAGAGAAAATTATTCATTTGAGCATTGAAACCACAAAAGAAACCTGTTCCTCAACCCCCCCCCCAAAATATTTAAGACTAGTGTCTGGCATTTCATCCCAGTGACCTATTGATTTAATGAACTTGTAAGGCCTTCTGAGAGGCAATGTGATAGAGTATATAGAAGAACAGCCTTGGAGCCAGAGACGCCTAAGTTCTACCTCTGACAGTATTATTAGTTATGTGACCATGGGCAAGTCACTTAACCTTGAAATGTCCCCAAAAACTTTCTAATACTATGATAGAGACAAAGATTTTGTCTGGGCCTTAGGATCCCAAAACAAGATTTTGCATTTCCTATCACGCTAAAACATGTTTCCATGTTCCTGTTACCTTATTGGCATGAAGTTGAGTTGTGTGTGTATGTTTTTAAGTTAAGTTTGTGTGTTTAAAAAACAAAGAGTGCCTTGCTTAGGTTTACTAGAAGAATGCTTATATTTATTCATTCCTTAATAAATATTTATAAATGCCATTTGCTAAGGATCCTGAAAGGGCAACTAGGTGGCACAGTGGATAGAGTGCCAGCCCTGGAGTGAGGAGGACCTGAGTTCAAATTCAGCCTCAAACATATATTAACTGTGTGACCCTGGACAAGTCATTTGACCTTAGTTGCCTCAGTTTCCTCACCTGTGAAATGAGCTGGAGAAGGAAATGGCAAACCACACCAGCATCTTTGTCAAGAAAGCCCCAAACAGGGTCACGACTGAAAATGACTAAACAAAAACAACCATAGAAGAAGAATCCAGTATAAATGGAAAGTAATCTCAGAGGAAAGGTAGGATTTGAGCTGAGTCTTGAAGTCAGAGAAACTTAAGAGGCAGAGGTGAAGGAAGCTAAGGCAGAAGTGAGGAGGAAGGGCATTCCAGGTATAAGGAGACCTTTGCAGAAAACAGAATGTCAAGTTTGGGGAATAGAGAATAGGCCAATTTATCTGAAAAGCAGAATGTATGAAAGGGACCTATGCACAACAAGCCTGGAAAGATAGATTACAGCCAGACCAGGAAGGGCTTTCCTTACCAAGCCTGTCATCTGAAAAGAACTGGATTCTGACCATTATTCAGAGTCAACTCTATTACAAGGTCCATCTGTGCCAATAAGGCATGGCAAATGCCTATGAAGACAATGAGAGCAAATGGAATTGAGTTCAATTCAGTTCTACAAGGCTTTATTGAATGGAAGGACATACTGTGCCATAATATCAAAAGTAATTAGATCTCAGACACAGGTAAGAGGGAATGAGCTAGAGCTGAGACGTGATAGATCACTTTAGAAAAGGTGATTGATGGTAGATTACTATCAATCTATGATAGTCACTGGAATAACTGACATTTCTACGGTACTTTATGGTTTACGAAAGAGTTTTAGATTGCAGTTAATCTTCACAACAGCACTGTGAAGGCAGCTGTATATTTACCCCCATTTTACAGACAAGAAACAGAGGCCCTGAGAGACAAGTGTCACCCAGGTAGTACCTAAAGCAGGATTTGAACCCGAGGGTTCCTTCTCAGGTCCAGCACCCTCTCCACTTTACCCTACTGGCTCTCTGACACTGGGCATAAACTTATCTCAGTGATCTTCATTTGGTGCTTTAATGCCTGTTCTAAAATGAAATTCCCAACTTCAGAACATATAAATTATAGATTAAGCTCCTGGACCGAAATTTAGATTCAGCCTTCACATGAATCTATTAATGATGTGAATAATTAATATTTAATCCCTGGTCATGGCAGAAGCCTCACTTTTTTCCATGCAGTCTGAATGCAAAGAGCATAATTACTGTCACTGAGATTGTTCATTGAAGTGAGCAGGCAGTATGTGTGTTCTTTGAACCACATGCATGGAAAGTGCTGAGTTAAATACAGTATAGCAGCTTTCTTACCTCTGGAGCCTTTTCCAGCAATAAAGCAGAAGAAAAGACTTAGAAGTCTGGGGTTACTTCTAAGTTTAAATTTTAAAGTGATATTTTAAATATGTCCTTTAGTGTGGCTGCTCTCGTTTGGGGATCATCTGGACTTTTAATGGCCTGATGATTTTGAAGCAGAGAGGTTCTTAACCTTTGTTGTATCATGCATCCCCTTGGCAGTCTGATGAAGCCTACAGACCTCTTTTCAGAATGTTTTTAAATCTATAAAAATAAGAGTCAGTTAGGTAGCACAGTGGGTAAAGCCCTGGGTGTGGAGTCAAGAAGACCTGAGTTCAAATTCAGCCTCTGACACAATGTGACTCTGGGAAACTCACTTGCCCTCAGTTTCCTCATGTGTAAAATGGGACTAATAATAGTGTTGAGGTTTAGAGGTGCTGAGACCCTTAAATAGCTGCATGCGTGTACTGCTCAAATATATTCGACCTGGGGCAGCTAGGTGGCACAGTGGATAGAGCACCGGCCCTGAAGTCAGGAGGACCTGAGTTCAAATTTGGCCTCAGACCAAACACTTGACACTAGCTATGTGA